TTCTCGAATGCCTCCAGCACATTTGAGACACATGCTGAGTAATTTCATTGGAATGAGGTGTAACCTGAAGAATGAGTGATGTCAATTCCCCTCTTATTTCGTGGATCACCTACTGGAGGCAGAATCCACGCGGTGACTGAGGACACTTGTGGGTCACATAACCACACTACAGACCTGGCCCTGCTCCCCCCACCCACCAATCTCCCACAAGACACACGATCCCGTGAACAACGTGAGGAGTTAAAAATGTGTGCGCTTTTCTTTGAGAAAGTTCTTCCTATTCTTGTTTCTTGATGAATAAACACCAGTGACCACAAAGTCAACTAATTTAAATGATTGCTTTTATTATAATTACACAGGAGCACAAATAAATAAGCACAAAAGTATTGTAAAATATTGTCGATGCACTAAAGAAAACAATTTGTTGTCAAACAACACCTGGTTACTTCAGTAGTATCAAAGTACACTTCTAGTTACATGTTACCTAGAAAAATCAATACAAAAATGAAGAGAAATGAAAACATCCGAGTTTATATTAGTATGTATATAGAAATGGCTAACAACACGTGGGTAGAGAAACCTGTTACCTAATGCTTATTAGCACAATTTTCCAGGCACATACCTGACATTTTTAATGTGTTCTGAAAAATGCAGTATGACATTCAGATTTTTTTGATACAGTAAACATGTTATGCTGGAATGGATGTTAAATGGTTTCTTTTAAAAACCCTGTCTTTTAAAAACGTAGTGCTGTTACCCACTAAAAAACATATTATTTTATATAATGTTCTCAATAGCTATTTGCTTCCACTTCTGGAAAAGAGCAATGAAGTAAACGTACAGCTGCTAAATACGTAAACACATTTTTAGTGCAAGGTAACACGACCTGTGACTTTACTGTGCTTCGATCTGTGTACGCACAGCGCACTCGACACAGATTGCTACACTACAGACGTCAACTGAAGGAGTCCCGAACAAAAGGAGTGCATACTAAACATTTTCCTATATATTATATACAGTATGTGTACTGTATGTGGGTGCGTACACGTGTAAATGTAGATGTTTTTAGGGCAGGCAAACCCAGCCCCGTTTGGAAACAGTTGAACACTCAAAAAGATCTTCATCTATGTGTGTAGTTGAGAGAAATCCAATGTTATCTCTGTAAAGATGTTTCCCCCTAAATGTCAAACTATATGTTTAAATGGAAACATACAGACATCATTTTCCAGTGTACACACATTTTGCTACAATGTACTTGACCCTAGTATCCAAAGATTTTAAATTAATCCAAACCCCACGCGGTAGTGCTCAAGTCCAACATAGGAAAACACGTCATCCTCTTACTGATTCACGGATGGACAGCAGTACGCATCCTATGTGCACGTGGAAAGACTTACACATAAATATACTTTGTACACAGACACTGATTACATGTTTTAGCATTTTATTTTGACTGTACATTTGATCTTAAAAAAAAGAGAATACTATAAACACAAAGGAGATGTCAAAACACATGTGATATTGTGTATCTTCTTGAAAATAATTGGCTTTGTTTTGAAAATATTAATGATTGCATAATTAAGCTTTTTAAAGGCAGGACCACATCTTTTTGAATGTTTAATGCCAAGTGCTTCAAAATGTTTTTTAAATAACTGATACATAAGCTGCTCACTCGTGAGCTGTCAAATGAATGATGCACCAATAGCAAATTGTCTACATTCTACAGTTAGCTATCAATTTTTCCATATAGGGAAGATGTAGGGAGTTATCTTAAGTGCTATTCAGTACCAGTTTTCTTTCACTTGCATTTGAATTTGGGACATAATGAGCTCTGAACTGCTACTCTCTTCTACTTCTATTCATTTGCAAAGGTGAATTATCTCTCACTTCATACGCCTCTTTTCTTAACTTCACAGGTAGCCATAATCAGTTTACAGGCGCTGTTCTGTTTTAGTCGGGTGACTCACCTTAACATGTAAGTACCATGAAAACTGCATCCTACATGCATTGTGTGGTTGTCTCAGTTAGTTAGTTAAACAATATCCCGATCAGTTTGGTCAGTGTTTTCTGACTTGATCCTTAATCTCACTTGAGAGAATTAACCCAAAAGGGGTGTGAGGGTGAGGCTAAAGCCAAGGTGTAGTAAGAAAAATGTTTCTCTCCTCTCCAGAAGCATTCCAAGAAGACTGTTGGGAACCTCGGTGTCTCTGAAGCCTGGCATCAAAAGTGAACTAGTATTCTGTCTAGTCGTGGCCATGCAATTGCCGTGTGTTTGAAAGTGCATATTCTGTTAAACGACAAAATGTGACCTCCTGATGTCTGGTTTGGTTTCACTCTCCCAGCGAGAGTGTGCGGGTGGACCTGTGCCGTCACGGACGCAGATCAATCACTTTACACTGCAGACCCGCTGCAACAGCCTAAGTGTGGGGGAGTGGGCAGCCCTGTTTCCACACAGGACGCTCGGCCGCTGGGATCGGGCAGACAGGCGGGGTTGATTTGCCTCCTCCCTGCAAAGACTTTTCTCACATGGAGAAGCATCTTGCTGACAGACAATAAAATTCTGTCTCTCTCACCTTTGCACTGTGAAAGGGCCATTTTTCACAGGTATGACCGCTTTCAACCTGATAACCATGCCATGAGAAGATTTGTTCTTTGGCACTGCTGAAAAAATATGAGCCTGTCATTCAATCATGTTCTGGCTGTAGATGGATTTTAAGAAAAGAGAAATCGTCCGACCCCATTCACAGATTGAAGTGTCCTGATTGACGGGCACTAGAGAGTAAGCTTTTTTCCTCTATCCTACTCATCTCCCCCCTCCCCCCCGCCCAGAAAGAAACGCTGTACTGAGAGGAAAGTTGTTGTGGAATGGCTGTTACCACACAGGCGAAGCCACAGCCGACAGGTGTGTCTGCACAGAATAACGGTTCTTGAGTCAACATCAGTGAAGCCACTTTCCAGATCTTTCCATTACTTGCCACGGAAAGCAAGATATGGAGAAATTAAATGGCAACTGTTGACTGAGATCAGAATTTCAAACAGGTTGCCTTTCTAGAAAATCACTGACTTTAAAAAGAAGTGCCTGAAACCTGGCACCAGCCTGAGTTTGGCGGAACCAATGGGGATGGCCGAATCCAGCCCAAGTCATGTCAGTGCCTCCGTTTCCTTCTTGACAAGTGGCCAGCATTGAAAAAATGTCTCGGCTCGACTCGGAGAGATATGGAAAAGACCAGTGTCTGAAAACCACACTTGCACGTATTGCCGAAATGTAAATTTCAAGGGGATTCTCCAGTCGTCACCCCACGGAGCCTGGCCATGCACCTCGACCCAGATCACCACAAAGATGCCGAGAACCTGTGTCTCTTACATCTGACTGACTGGCCTGAGTGTACGGGGTCCTGACAACTTAAATCAGCGTAACAACTTGGGTCAGGAACACATTTTATTTTAATTCTGATTTGATCTTAACACACTTCTGTCACCCGGAGCCGCGTCCCATGGTTTGTTGGGGTTCAGAACTGGTGAAATGTGGCAACATGATCAGCTTAAGCTCCTTAAGATCCCTCTGTGACTTCCTGTATTTGTGATTCTGCGTTTTTTTTTACCACCTCAGTTGTACAAGCAAAGCCTGAAACTCTAGAAAGCATTTTATGTATACAGTTGTCCCCCTGAGTCCTCAGTCACGCACATGCGCACACAGCAGATACACATGTTCCCACTTACCTGTTTCCTTATTTTTTTTTTCAGAATTCTCGCTGGACATCAAAATATACATTAATTATAAAATATTAAAAAATTATCTTACAAGATTTCAAAGGCTTGAAAGAAACTATTATCGATAAAGCATTACTAGGTTTTTAGCAATATAGGTTACAAAAATTCCCTAACTCCCGTTATATTTGGTTTTTATTGAGCAACACTGTACTATTGCTGTCAAAACCCTTACAAGGAAAACCACTATGACAATAACTTCAAACACATACCTTTCCTCTCAGAAATATAATACTCAATTGATTGTTAAAGAAGAACCACATACTGTCAATTTTAGGAAGCATAAATAGTAATTTAAATATACAAAATATATGTGATAGTTTCCTTTTTATTCATTTGTGGCAATATTTATATTCAACTAACAAGCTATTCTTAAAAGATATATATGCTTTGTTTAATGTAGATTTCACCACCACATACAACGGAATCCACCCTGTCCCTGATCCCCTGCCCTTCCTGTTTCTTCCGTGAAACAAAACAAAATCAATCCGTGGTCATACGTCTTTGGTCCTGGCGTCGTAATCGGTGGGAATGGGTGTGAATTGTGCACAGGAGATTACAACCCAAAAAATGTGGTAATAACTTGTTTGAAAAATTTAACAAAAAAAATCCTATTGCATTAGCATACCTCAATTTGGGGGAAGGTTGGCATTTAGAGTGCTGAAAGATGGAAACGCATCTGGTTGAATGTGTCTCATTTTCTGGGGGAAGAAGACGTAAGCATGGAAAGTTGTTTAGAAATAGTGACTGCAGTGGCTGTGATGCCACAGGTCCCAGCTTCCTGCAGGTCATCGGGCTACCTAGCTCTTGACTCCTCGTTCCTTCCCTTGTCACAGTGAACCCTGGTCTCCTCCAATCAGATCAACGATGCAAGGATGCGTGTCCCTAAGGTCAATTCCGAAGGAAATGTTTCTGCAGGGGTGTCCACATATATCCTAGTAACCTTTCCCTGGTGTCTGCCTAACCATTTGCTTAGTGTCAGGACGGTATGAAAGAGAAATTCTTATAAAGCCAAAGTAGCAAAAATGTTGGTGCTGATGGAATATGGACACCCAAAGTTAGCATCATACTTGCATTCATTTCCTGTCACACTCTTAAAAACTTACAAAGCAACAGGTGTTCTGAATGAATATGAGATTCAACTCGTACTTGACTAGCACCAGATCAGAGAGTATGTGACTGACATGATTTATAGCTGTGAGCTGTTAGAAGACAAATGTGGGCAGAAAAAATATTCTAACTGCAAAAATTAATAACAAAAGGCATCAAGGGATTACATATATAAAAGAGATAACAAACCAGTTAATACCGAAATTATATCATATAGTAAAACTCTTGATATTTCTGTCGTTTATATACGTATAATGTGTATTATTTCAGGTGTCACCCATAAACTAGTAAAATATGTACATCTTAATCTTTTCTGGATTCAAAATAATCCGTGATAAATAAGTGTGCCTTAATTGCAAGGAAATAGACATTTGATCTTGAACTTGCCATGAGTAGGCACAGCTCCCCGTGGGTTTTCCAGGGAAGTGCTGGCATTCCATTCCAACAAAGGAGACCTGTGACAGTTCCTCAGCACACGTCTGAGCCGACCTGTCTCTTCACAGTAAGTCACGTGGAACTCACGCCGTCCTGTGCACAGTCATATGGCCGTGTCCCAGAACACCGTTTGCTGTTTAGAATAGGGCGGCGGGCTGTACTTCTTTGCACCTGCACTCTTCTTCCAGCTGGGGAGGATAGGCATGCTCTCCTGTTTGCAAAGGCCCTTTTCCGTTTTCTGTCTAGCCTTTATCTCTTTGCACAAGCAACGCTTTTTCTCAATCATCTCAAGCATTGTATGGTCTCCTTGAAACCACTGCATGCATGCCACCTAGCAAAAAAGAAAGAGTGAATACAGAAGAAAAGAACGGAATGAAAGCAGGGTTGGGGGTGTTTTTTTTTCTTTTTCTTTTTTTTTTTGCACTGTGCTAGTAGTTGTTTCGAAAAATCTCAGCTGTTTGAAATTCTTGCAAAGCAAAGTTAAAGTATGGAAACTATAAATACAATGTCTACATAATTAGTAAACACTGGAATATTATTAAACAATAGTTTAGGCATGAGTACTTTTGCAGTATGTTGCCGAAGTCCACATCTGGAAATAAAACCTTCTTTTACCCTTTGAAGCAATTTGCCAAATATTTACCTAATTACATTCATAGATTTCAATATGTCTACATTAAATTATTGGAATTACTTTTTTAGTGACATCTAATACGAATGTGGTATGTTTTAAAGATTTTAATGAACATTTTCATTCTTAAAACTTGGGCTTTTTTTTCTTTTTTTCACTTGATTTTTATTGTTGACACTGTTACGTATGTCACCATCCCCTTTTTCTGGCTTATAAATTGCATATAGAATTAAGACTTTTAGTCCTTTTTACCAATACGAGGACTTTCAGTGTGCATCTAATGCTCGGCATTTAAATGCTTAAGTAATTCCTGTGCAAAGAAGTTTTTGTTATACTCCCCCCCAGTGCCTCTGCAAATGTCTAAACTGGGGTCACCGGTTTCTGGAGTCACACTGACACAGACCCTCCAGTTCTACAGCTTCAGAGAGGCGGACTCATCAGGTCAAATGGGGCCCAGGAAAAGATTCAGTGCTGACTATATATGGATGCACATACATATATTTTTGTTTTATAACGATTTTGTTTACTTATTTTTAGAGAGAGGGGAAGGAAGGAAGAAAGAGGAGGAGAGAAACAGCAATGTGTGAGAGACACATCAGTTGTCTGCCTGGCCCGCCACCCAGGCACGTGTCCCGACCCGGCGACCTTTTGCTTTGAGGGGCAATGCCCAACCCACTGCACCGCTCCAGTCAGGGCTACACATAGTTTTGGACAGATGGACACTGCTTCTGGGTGCATGTGGCCATGTCCGCCAGTACCTGATCTTTAGAACAAAGCTAGCGGTTGGGCCTGTCACACAAGGACAGTGATGTAACTGAGTCAAGGGGACGTTTCTATTGAATCGTTTAAGCACATCTACTCGATGACTAGAAAGAGTAAAATAGCTCACCCAGGGTCCCTGAGTCTGACGTTACAACCTTAGCGTAATAATCAGAGCAAATGCTTATCTAATGTTTACTCTACACCAGATCCCATGCTAAGCACTTTGCACAGCTGAATTCGTTTATTCCTCACAATGATGACGCTCCGAAGAAAGTATTATTAACCCACAAGGATGAGCAAAATGAGAGATAGAGAGAGAGATCTGGTGACTTGGCTAAGGTTACAGAGCCAGCGAATGGCAGAGTTAGGATTTGAACCCAGGAGTTCATCTGCAACACCCATGCCTTCGACAGCTACACTACACTGACCCTCAATGCACACACAACCGAAAAGGATCAGGAAAATAAATTAGGACACTGCCCTCACGTGCAGATGGGGACATTAAGACTTCAAGAAGTCCCATCTTCGCCAAAGCCAAGCACAAAGGTTTCGGCATGAAAGAGGCTGTATCAGATCCCCACAATTCCTGGCCCTCTGCGGGACGGCGGGACCTAGAGCTCAAAGACGAGAATCTGCTCCCGGAGGTTTCAAATTTCCCCCAATGGCCTCTCTGTCAGAATGACAGAACTGAGAACATCTCAGTTTCAGAAGTTGCTGTACGGATTCAATTGGATAATGAACATGAAGTCATTTTTAAAAACGGTTAAGGAATTGCCTGAGCATTATTATTCTGATACTGACAAATACCTAGGAGTTTTCCACACCTGCTTTCCGCCAAGCATTTGCAAGGAGCTGTATAGACGTTACATAAATCCTGCCAGATACACTGAAAGTTAGGATTCGCCCACCTACCACAGGCGAGAAAACTGACTCGCAGAAAATGTAAGGCACTAACTAGATCAAAGTCACAGCTCATTAGCTGTGATGTAGACGCATCAAACTCAGATGTGTTTGGAAAATGAATATTCTTTCTACTATAGCATGCTCCATCTCCTGAATATTACTTAGAAATCATCATAATAGCTATTATCTGTACCACTGTTTCCAGATGCTACTCAAAAATTCAAATATATTTATGGCTTTATGAGTCAATCAAAAGTGCTTATCAAATAAAACAAAATAAAAGTACTTGGAGTTCCAAAACCGATACTCTTAAAGTTCTTCTGTGTACCTAACTTGATATAAAATTGTTTGAAAGGATGAGCTGTGTCTTATGCCTTTTGGTGTCTGCTGGCCCCGAGCTCAGAACCTTGACCATGAGTGTTCCCTTTAAATGCAAGTCTAGGTGTTTGTTGACTTGTTATAATCAACAGGTTTGTGTCCCCATAGAAGACTGCCAGAGCAGCTTGGAAATTTTTAAAAAGATTTGTAATATTTTGTGAATGAATCATCTATGCAATAATAATACAGTCGCTCTAATTTGGTGGAAATACAAGCAAAATTTATTGTGGCTATAAATTGTTATAAATGGAATTGATAACACCCAGTTCTCAGAGGGTACGCCCCCAATCTCTTCCATGCCGAACAGTCGTTAAGCTCTCGATAGAGATTTTATGCACGAATAGAAGCCGCCACCATTAACAGTGCGTATTGCCTCTTAGAAAACTCGCCAGATAAGATATTTACAGCGTTATTTCAATATTTGCATAGCATTTACTGGCCCACACAAACATTAAATCATGTATTAGTTAATTTCTATGAGTATTTTAGGTTGTGAATCATTATACCTCACTGCAAAATAATTTTCCTGGATTAACTCTGTCAGCAGCATCACCAATACATCTCATCGCTGTCGCTACATTTTACATATGCAAAACTGTATCACACCATCTGCGATCAGTGCGTGGTTTCTGTCCATTAGAAATCGGTGCCATAGATAAGGATCTCAATTTGTTAAGAATAATCCATTATTTAGAAACCTAAAGATAGAAGCTTAAAAATAAAGTTATAAAGTATGGTTTTTCATGTTAGTTGCATTTTTATTCTAGCATATTTACATGTCCATATGATTGACTTGATGGTTTAAAGTATTAGTAGATAAAAAGCAACCCATTTTTTTTCACACTGACTCTGTAATTTTAACTTTTGGTAGCCAGGTGTCAACACAAATTCCACGCGAAAGCACAGCCCACACGAGGAAGAGAGCTAGGCAGTGTACGGCACTCCCAATCCAAGTTGTTAGAGAATAGCCAAGTAATTTTTTTTATTCTAAATCTTTTTACAAATGTGACCAGTGTGATACAGAATTCTCTCGTGTTCAATCTGCTACCAAACAATCTTTCTTGTTTAGAACACCGACAACTGTTATCACTTTGTTAGAATGAGGTGAGGGAAGACAAATAAACCTGCTCCCCATAATCACTTTCAAATAGCACGTTTCGAAATATGACTTTCCGGGAGGGGCACATTCTTTCCAATTTTTCTACACTGAACCCCAATGTTCCTGCTATGGCCATGTATATGGCCAAATCCCTCCCCTCTAAAATGTGTCTAAAAGTTATATTTCATTCTGATAATAAAATGTTATTCTTGAATTCATTAGTTTTGGCGAAATAAATAGCATGTTTAGCAATTTTATGAAATGTATTAAGAAGGCTACCCATGAAAGGTTTCATACTTTACTTAATCTTTTCTTTTATTATCAAATTCTTCATATCTGATTTAAATTTAGCTGTAAAACCCCATTCTACTTCATCCCGGAGTTAAATGAACTCTGGGTTTAGATTTACGACTAATTTCAAACTAAGCCCAGTAAATGAACTCTTCTAGTTTAGCTATTTAATCAAGTGGCCTTGCTCCTCATCTTTATTCCACCTGTGTTCATCACATACACCGTGGAGGGATAGAAGGAAACATACACAGGCAAGTTCGCATACAATGAGCGCAAACTGTGAACAATTGTTCAGGTGGTATGAACACACATGTCTTGGACAAGATTTTCATATTACCATGGTTCAGCAGAGACAATATTCTTGGCTAATAAGTCCATAAAGTCAAGTGGAGCTCCTCTTCAAGGTCATGAAAAATAGACCTATGCCCCTTAAGAACAGGCTCTGCGCACTGACTTCTCTCCAGAGGGCAGAGCAGGGAAAGGGGAGCAGAGGACCTTTCTAGTGGAGACACCTGGGTGGCACTACTCGCCCCACACCAGGTGATGAACAGTGACAAGTGACGCTGACAGCGTGCGCCCTTATTACAACGTGAAGAGAAAGGCCGGTTACGTCTGAAGATGTCCTTCGCTAAACCAAAACTCCCATCTAGTGATGAGAAAAACACTGAACAGATGCAAATGAAAAAACATTCTGCAAACCATCAGTCCAGCAATCCTCAAAACTAGGGAAGCCAGGCACAATATGCAACGTGGAGGAAGCTGTCATAGTCTAGGGAGGAAAGGAGACAGGACGACTAACACCAATTGATGTGGCCTCCTGAGAAAGACAGATTAAAAACGAAGGAAAGCTGCCCTGGCTGGCGTAGCTCAGTGGATTGAGCGCGGGCTTTGAACCAAAGCATCGCAGGTTCGATTCCCAGTCAGGGCACATGCCTGGGTTGCAGGCCATGGCCCCCAGCAACTGCACATTGATGCTTCTCTCTCTCTCTCTTTCTCCCTCCCTTCCCTCTCTAAAAATAAATAAATAAATAAAAATAAAGGCCTCAATTTCTAAAAAAAAGAAAAAAAAACAAGGAAAGCCAAATAAAGTACCACGGGCTTTAATAATAATGTATCAATATTGATGCACCAGGTGTGACAAACGTATTGTGGTTAATGTAACATGTTAACAATCATGCAAACTGGGTGTGGGTTACACAGGGACCTTCTGTAAGTGTTTTGAAATATTTCTGTAAATTTAACACTGTTTTGAGTCAAAAAATAGATA